TGTGCATACAGAAATAAATGTCTCACTTTGTATCAATATAGCATTCGTGTATACAGTAATGAATATCACTTTATATCAATGTAGCGTTTGTGCATACAGAAATGAGTGTCAACTTTGTATCAATGTAGCATTTGTGCATACAGAAATAAGTGTATCACTTTGTATCAATGTAGCATTTGTGCATACAGAAATGAATGTCTCACTTTGTATCAATGTAGCATTTGTGCATACAGAAATGAATGTCTCACTTTGTATCAATATAGCATATCACATTGATATTGATAACAATTCTCACCTTATCAGATTTGCGCAGTTGTTTTCTGATAGCCATATCCCTCCTGGCACACAAAGCATGTCTACATGGTCCTATATCAGTGAACAGCCTAGCTCTTTGTTTCTGTCTTTTCATTGACGTAGCATTTAAAGCACCTAAATCGCTTTCAAACAACTTCAACTTGGAACCAAGACGCTCTGCAATTTTTATCAAATGATATAACAAAATTTGTGTCATATTGTAATATGTCAAACTAGTGTCATAATCGTATTACGTAATAATGTAATATGTCAATCAAGTGTCATAATTCAATTATGTAATAATGTAATATGTTGAACAAGTGTCACAATTTAATTATGTAATATGTCAAACAAGTGTCATAATTATGTAATAATGTAATATGTGAAACAAGTGTCACAATTTAATTATGTAATATGTGAAACAAATGTTCATAATCGTATTATGTAATAATGTAATATGTGAAACTAGTGTCATAATTGAATTATGTAATACATTGTGTGATGTAATGTGTCAAACTAGTGTCATAATTGAATTATGTAATAATATAATGTGTCAAAATAGTGTCACAATTGTATTATGAAACTATTATGACACACAAATTGTTACATACTACCTTATTGCATAATACAATTATGACACACAAATTTGACATATCTCATAACATAGTACAATTATGAACACTAATTTGGCAAGGCAAAAGAAAGGTTATTCCCGACAACTACAGTAAGTTAAACACAAAATAACACATTTCTGACACATACTACTGTAGTTACAATGTACGTAAATTATACATATATGTACATGTATATAATAGCGGTGATCCTTCTTTACCTAGTGATAGTACAGTAAACCTACCCTCTGGCAATGATTTTAGACAGACTTCATGAATTTCAGCAATGATTTGAGGTCCAGCCAAAACTTTAGATACTCCAATTGTTGTCAATACATTACCAGGTGAGAATCTCTTTAATGCTGTGCCAGGTTCTTGAGACTGACACTCAGAATCCTTTATTAAACTGGCAAAATCAACGTCTAAAACATCCACAGTTTCTGAAAATAATATTACATACAGTAAATTATCTACTCTGCTGCCTACCAACATGACAAAGTCCTAATAGTTTTTAATTTAAGTCCACGATGAACCTGTCAATCTTTTTTAATCCAAGCTTGACATTATGTAAAATGTACATGCCAAAGTGGAAAAAATAAATAGAACATGTATGACATGATGATACATGCTGAAGGCTATGCTAAAAACGATGTGTCATGAATGCCTCAGAACAGTACTGAATTCTTGCCCTTCAAACTGTTGATGATGCAAACCATAAAAGAGCTATGGGCTGGCACAAAGGTGAAAAGTATACCACATAGACTTATTGAAACTTTATGAAGAATATTGAGATGAAGGCAAAGAATTATGGGTTTACATCAGGTTTGGTTGTCATTGGAACTATAGGTGTCAAAGAGACTGGTGAAGTTGGCAATACAAAATCTGGAACGGTGGATAATAAGATAAAAACAAAAGAACATCAAATGCTGTATAAAAATAGGACAACCTAAATGTAAATACATTTAAACGTTTGCACGTAAATATTTGCTGTGCCATGTTGCTTTGCCATTGTAAACACAGGACGACTTGCGTTATAGCTAGCACTAACTTTAATATAAACAATTATTTCCAAATAATAAAAAAGAATTAGTGGATCACACTGAAATAGCAATGCAATGTTAGCAATGCACATTTCAATTAAAGAACAGAAGATATCATTAGAAAATGAACAATATATATAGTA